TAATGGAGGGCCCTCCTCATCAGCGAAACGAAGCGCTGGTTTTGTCCCTTTGAGACGATGCTCTGGAGGAGAAGGCTCCTGTTCTTCTGCCACCCCTTCCAACTCCAATTCTGGCGGTTCCTTTATATTTGAAAAAATTGTAGCGCAGGGAAATAACACCAGTTCATCCGGATCTTTTGCAGTCCCTTGAGCTTCCACCCAATAACCACCAGGTAGGTCATCACATGGACCCAAAAGAAGCGCGGGCTGTGTACGATCGACCCATTGCCGACCCTTCTTTGTTCCATCCGGACCCAGCAACTCCCACGGACGACGTTTGACTTGAATCTGAGCACCAAAGGGAAGCAATGCCTTCGGGTTTAACCCCAACTCCCTTTCAGCTTTATGGAGAGACTTCCCTTTCCCTTCTCTCCTTCCGTTTCCGTTTAACTGATAAAACACAAGAAAGGAACTTGTATGATAAAGCAGTGGAAGGGTAAGCAGAGGGTGACTCCTTGCGCGTGGACCTTGCCATACTTCATCATACCCCTCCTCTCGGCCTATCTCTTCTGTTCCTTTCTGTACTCTCCTTCTCATAGTTCTTCCTTTTTGTTTCCTTATTTCGAAAAGAAAAGGGCAGGGAGAGATAAGGGAGAGAGGATCGATAAAGAAGAGTGCCACCTCTCTGCACCTTATTTTGTCTCTCCCTCTCCTTTATTCATCTCTCTTCTATTCTTTTCTGTGCTCTTCCCAGTAAAAATGCAATCCTTTTTGTCTCTCCTCTCTCCTTCTCTCTCCCTTCTCTTCTCCTGTTCCCCTTGAAATGACAAAAACGCAAGAAAGGAAGAACAAGAGGGGAATGGAGGCCCTTTTCCTTTCTTCTCCTGTTTCAATGGATGGGGAAAGTGAGCGGGGTTGGCTCCTTGTCCGTAGACCCTCCCCATGCTTCAGCAAATCCCTCCTCTCGCCCTATCGCCTCTGTTCTTTTCCTTGTTCCCAAACGGAAAAAGAAAACGGGTTCCTTTACATGTTCATTGTTTTCCTTTTGTTCTTTTATTTGAAAGGGAAAAGAACAAGAGAAGAAAGATGAAAGCGAGCACCATCTTCTCTTAGCCTGATTTTGCACCTCCCTCTCCTGTCTTCATTTCTCTTCCATTCTTTTCATTGCTCTTCCCATTAAAATTGCATTCCTTTTGATCTCTCCTCTCTCCTTTCTCTCTCCCTTCCCTTTCTTGTTCTCCTTTATATCTCAAAAACACACAAAAGGAAGCTTCTTTTCCTTATGGAATGAAAAAGAAGAAGAAAAGAGAGAGGGAAAGACACTGAAGAGCTCCACTGCCTATTGTTTCATTCCCTTTCCTCTCTTTCTATGTGCTGTTTTCCTGTCGTTTCAGAAAGCAAGCAAAATGCGGGCAAGGGGGCTTCCTGAAGAGGAGAGAGATCTGCGAAGAGCAAGAATAGTCTTGTCTTTTGAATTATAGAGGGAAACGGGAGAGACAAGGAAGGGAGAGGGCCATCCTTCTCCTTGTTTCTTGTCTCTTCTCTTTTTTTCAATACCCTTCCAGAAAATTAAAATGGCCTCCTTGTTGTCTCTCCTCTCTCACTTCTCTTTCCGTTTCCGTTTAACTGATAAACCACAAGAAAGGAACTTGTATGATAAAGCAGCGGAAGGGTAAGCGGAGGAGGAGGGTGACTCCTTGCGCGTGGACCTTGCCATACTTCATCATATCCCTCTTTTCGGCCTGTCTCTTCTGCTCTTTTCCTTACCCTTCTCCTTTTCATATTTCTTCCCTTTTAGTTTTTCTTATTTCGAAAAGAAAGAGGGAAGGGATAGATAAGGGAGAGAGGATAGATAAAGAAGAGTGCCATCTTCTTTGCGCCTTGTTTTGTCCCTCCCTCTCCTTTATTCTCTTGCATTCTTTTCTTGGCTCTTCCCATTAAGATTGCGTTCCTTTTATCTCTCCTCTCTCCTTCTCTTTCCCTTCTCTTCTCCTGTTCCCCTTTAAATGACAAAAACACAACACAGGAAGAACAAGAGGGGAGGCCCTTTTCCTGTCTTCTCCTGTTGCAATGAATAAGGAAAAGAGCATAGGAGATAAGGAAGGGAATTGAAGAGCTCCTTTCGCTACTTTCTCATGCCCTTCCCTTTCTATCTACCACACCTCTCAGCTTCCAAATAAACCCTATTTAAGCCACCCACCCCCCCCCTCCCCCGCCACCCCACCACACCTCGCTGACAGACGTGGAACACGCTATTGTCAAGCCCTCCCCCCCACCCCACACCACCACTGTTGTCGAGAAGCACGTCCTTTCCACCCCCCTGTTGTTGAGCAGCACGTGGAACACGCTATCATCAAGCCCTGCCCCCACCCGACACCACACCCTGCTGTTGTTGAGCAGCACGTGGAACATGCTCACCACACCTCGCTGTTGTTGAGCAGCACGTACGCTATTGTCAAGCCCCCACCCCAGCACACCGCACTGTTGTCGGGGAGCAGGTCTTTCCCCCTCCTTGTTTCTGAGCAGCACCCGCCGCTCACTTGTAACTATTTCCCCAAAATCAAGACTCACTTGTGACTGCACAATAGTCGCAATTGAGCCACCCCCAAAAAAATAGACGCAAGTGAGTTTTTGACCTCTCTCGAGCGGGAACTGCATTTTCTAAACTTTATAGTCGTAAGTGGGCTTAAACAAGCCAGAAGTGTGAAGATTTTATAGCCACAAGTGAGAAAAAAGTCACAAGGGAGAAGATTTTCTAGTCACAAGTGAGGGGTTGGCTAGAAGACATGCCTGCCCGCATTTAAAAAAAAACTATAAAGCCCCTGGACCGTTTCAAGAGAGCACAAAAGAGCTTCGATTATTCGGGGGGGGGGGGGGGGGGGGGGAAGAGAAGATAGACGTCCTCTGCGAATTCAGAGGGAACACAGGCTTTCCGAGTATGAACCTAGGATTAGCCTGCAGAGCTCAAGGTTTTCCTACGATGCGTCTGGGAGTGTCTTGGAAGGGGTTTTTGGCGTTGGCTTAGACGAGGGGCGTGTTTGGCTGAGAGGTGCGATGAGGTGCGTCTGGGCGGGTCTTGGAGGGGGGTCTTTGGTGTTTAGGTGTCTTGGACGGGTGTGTTTGTCTTAGACGAGGTGCGCGTGTCTTGGAGGTGACTTTGGGAGGGTCTTGGAGGGTGTGTTTGGCTTAGAAGAGGGGCGTGTTTGGCTTACAGGCGCATCTGTCAGGGTCTTGGAGTGGGGGTGTTTGGCTTGGTGTGTTTGGCTTAGAGGTGCGTGTGGGAAGGTCTTGGATGGGGTGTTTGGCTGCCTTGGAGGGGGAACCAAGGGAATGTCAAACATAGAGACCCAACAAAGGGAACAAAAAGCAAGCAGCCCAAGAGCACTCCACCATATTCCACCCATTCCAAAGCTTTTGCTGGCATCTGGAAATTCCACGACTGGAAAGAAGAGTCTCGCGCAAAATGCTCGAAATGCTCTGCGGCAGCGGCTGGTGTTCAAACTGGGTTTATCGGGGGCTCGAGGCGCAACTCCGGCAGGAGTTCTGCGAAAGCGCTGGCGTTATCTAAGCCAACCGTTTGGAGCTGTTATGGAGGCTGTGGAACGTGCAGAATCTGCAGGTTCGAGCTTCTGTTTTTTCGAGCTTGCGCAACTTTAGAGGTGTTATGCGTTTTTTTTGGTCCGTGCTAAGTCACGGAACCTGCAGCGAGTCCCATGTCGGTTATTGTGTCTGAGAAACCGCTGGAAATTAGGCCTTTAAAGTTTTGGAGCTGGACTTTACAGCTTGTGACAGCTTTATAACCTTTGCAGCTTTCGGAACTGATGAATGTTTCGTCGCTGTCATTTTGCAATCTTGTGCGACTGAAAGCCCCAAGCACCTCACATGCTACAAACGCAGTCGCGCTGTAAATGCAGCAAACCACAGGGAAATATTGCCCCTTGCAATCTCCACAGGTAAACCCGAACTTGAACTCCGAAGACTAAACGACGCAGCGCCTGCAAGCTTCGAAGATTTCGCAGCTCGCATGTAATCTCCGTTGCGTTGCGCACAGCTCTTGCAAGCTCCTTGTGCCATATTGCTCTCCGTCCGGAGACGATGAAGACCTTGCCGCTGCCGAGGACATACACTTTTTGTCGGTATGCAAAAAAGTCTGGCTTCCAGAACAGCTGCCATTACCCCGAAAGGCCCGAAAGACCAATTTCACATTCAGAACACCTAATCGTATTGCACGTTGTCACATTGTGTTCAATTGTGGGAGATTCCTCTCAGAGGCGTCGCTTCTTGGAAGCAGGGCTTGTACCTGTTCCTCTGCAGCATTCCTCTTGGTCGTTCTGGTTTCCCGACAGGTGCCGCAAGGCAACGGGAAATTGGCAGAAATTCCGGGGCTAGGGTTTCATTTCTGATATCCGTTTCTGCTCACCAAAACATTAGAGTTGCACTTTACTGTAGAGATCCTTCTTTTTCTCCCTCACATTGAATGATTGATCCCCTTTTTTGCGGCTCGCAAAATCGATCAACCCTGGGGTTCAAATGTGTTGGGCTTTGGGCTGAAGTGGACTGAAGTGGTGGTGAAGGTGGTCGTGGATGCTGATTGTAAACGCTTGCGCCGCCTCGGCAGCCGGGCCGGCCCTAGGACAGGAAAGGAGGAAAGAGGGTTTCTGCAAAAAAAGGGAGGAAGGGTCAGGTCCTGGGGTCCTAGGAGGTTCAAGGGGTCAAGGGTGTTCGAGGTCCAGGCAGTTTTGGGGGGGGGGGGGGGGGGTTCTTGTGCGTTTTGAGGCGCTCCTCTGTGTCCCACTGCGTCACAAACTTTTGGGGGGAAGGGGTTCGGGGGAAGGACTGCTTGTTCCGCTTCTCGGCAGGAAGCCGAGGAGCATGGCACCAATGGTGGCTTTAGGCTTGGTGCCAGGCTTGCGAACCCAAGTGAGCAAGTAGAATCGCTCGATGTTTGATTGTTTGATCCCAAGCTCCCAGTCGCGCCCCCCCCCCCCTAGCACAACCGAAATCCCCATGTTATGTTGTTTTTCAGGTTGTATTCTGTGTTGGCAATCAAGCATCCAGGTATGTGCAGCGGTCGGAGGCCAGCGATGGTTCGCCAGAAGTTTCCCGTAGAAGTCTTGCAGAGCTGTACCGGCCGGGTATGCTCGTGATCGCCGTCGTCATGGCCCTAGGCGAGATGAAGGGACAGAAGCTGAGGATCGAAGCATCTCTTCGTCCAGCTTTGGTGAATGCGGGTTTGACCGCAGAGCACCTCCGCAAGAACATGTGGCTTCCAGCAGCCGTCAGGGGAGACGAAGAGCACGTGATCAGACTAGATTTTGGCGTCCAAAATCTCATGGGCGTGCTGAAGAAGAAGGACCTCACCAGTGACAAATTACCACTTGGCTCCATTGTGATGGTCGGGGTCATGTCGGTGTCTTCATCTGGTACTGTGCGGTGCTCACCTACAAGCACCGGGCCCATAAGTGATGATCCCATGGATGTGGCCTTGCTCAAAGCAGGTTCCCTTGTGACTGCCCGAGTTAGAAAGGTCCAGCTAGGGCCTCTAGAAAACTCTGGCAGCGACAAAGGGCTGATTGTCACGTTCTGCGGGGCATTGTCGGCTACCATCCACAGCCATCATGCCAGCCCAGTTGGCCAGATTCAGGACGACTGGAGAAAAAACCAACGTGTTGTTGCGCGAGTTCTTGCGGTGATTCCGGGCGAGCCGCCCACCATCCATTTGACTGTGCTTCCGCATTTACTGGATTGGGCGAAAGAGACTTTGTCTGAGCAAGCAGGGGTCGGAGAATTCTTGAAGGGGGAAGTTCTGGATTTTCAGACAAAGTATGGCTGCAGAGTGGTGTGCAAAGGCAAGTTGGGTGAGCTTTTTGGATTCTGCTCAATGGCCAGGCTGTCAGATGCGCAGCAAGAAGTGAAAGCGTCCTCTGTGGCAACGGGGAATCGAAGCACTTACAGGGTGCTGTCATACAACTTTTTGGACGGCGTGGTCATGCTGACACGGAGATCTTCCGATCTTCAGGAAGACGTCATCGTATCAGTGTCTGAATTGTCACCTGGTCAACTTGTATCTGGCACAATAACCCGAGTTGCTGACCACGGCGCCCGGGCACAGATGGCGGAGAGGGGGTTCTTGTGTTAGTGCTGCGAGGTGCTGTCTCATCATGTCTCATGTGTAGTGTGCCACATGTCAGGCATACATGTGAAGATCAGCGACTACGTGATGGGTCATGTTCACCTGAGACAGTTGACCGACGTCCCACTCGCTGCTGTACCAAAGCGCTTGCAAGTCGGCTCCAAAGTCAAATGCCGTGTCCTCCACGTGCACTCAGCTCGCCGGCAGCTCTCGCTGACGGCCAAGAAGTCGATGGTCCGAAGCGATTTTCAGCTGACACAAAACTCCATGGCAAGACCTCACATGCTTCTGATTGGTTACATCAGCAGCGTCCACGACTATGGAGCCATCGTGAGCTTCTACGGCGGTGCATTTGGTCACTCGGCCCGAATCCGGGAGCAAAGAGCAAGGGATGCATGCCAAGCGGGAGCGAATAGCAGAGAAGTGAACTAAGTGAACGGTGGAGTCACTGAGCCTAGCCGTAAAGCAGAGGAGATGCACCCTTAGCACAAAATGTGTGGCATCTTGTCAGCCTAGCTTGCAACACCAAAGGTCTGATCCCTGCCAAAGACATGGAGTCCGAAGAAGCTCCCGCACTGGGCATGGCAGTGCAGTGTCGGGTCTCCTTTGACGCTGGGCTGGAAACAGCTCCGCTGTTTTCAAGCTGCACAGAGCTGCTTAAGCCAAGGTAGATGTGAAGCGTGACAGATTGGGCTTGTCGCTCAATTTGGAAGAAGGCATGGCAGCGTCGGAACTTGCCAAGGCGCTTGAGCTGTGCTGTTTAGCAGTTTAGCGCCAATTTTCAATTTTGCTTTTCAAGAGCATCTTGAAGACCGTTTTGAGAATATGCTCTCATGTTGCCAGTTCAGAAGTTCTAGCGGGTTCTAGCGCTTTCTCGACTCCAGGATGGGCTGACATTTCGCGAAGCACTCCAAAGTACCGAGAAACGCAAAAAGCGAGAAGGCCAAGACGAGCCTTCCAGAGTGAACTCCATGCAGGCCACGCACAGCCGGCAGTGACCGGGTAGTGGTTGCATTCTCATTGCAGGGTACGGTTGGCGGCTAATGAGAGCTAGTTAAGCTAGTTAAATCCTTAAGAGAAGTACCTTCGGCGAGAGGACTCGGCTCGAAAAAGGGAAAGAAAGGACGTGAAGCTGCCGCAGATAAAGGACCCCGACAAGGAGCTGCAAGCTGGGTCGCTGCTGAAGATGCGGATCCGCGCCATTCATGGGTTGCAAGTGTTTTGCACTGCGCCGGTAGGCTTGCGTGGCCATGTTCATGCCACTCAGTTGGTGGATTTGGCTGATGTGGGAAGTGGAGGAACCCTGCCACTGCAAGATATACCCGAAAAGGGAGTCTTGAGGACAAGGTTGCTGAGAATACACCGGCGATCAAGGTCAACAAAGGAGAAGAGAAAATCCCGCAAAGGCCTCTATCACCTGGAGCTGACATGCCGGCCATCCTTAATGGCACCCAAGGATGTGGAAGAGTATGAAGCAGCAGTTGTTCGACGACAGTCCTTAACCCCAGGCTCCCAGGTTGCAGCTGCCATCTTGGCGGTTCGGAAGAATGCCTTGCTGGTGGAAGTTGCAGATGGCTTGAAGGGCCGTATTGCTCTCTTAGACAGCTCAACGGATCCCTCAGTCTTGCGATGTCCGGCGCAACATTTCAGCCCCGGCCAGGTCTTCCAAGCCCGGGTTCTTCAGGCAAGCACATCCCACAAAACACTCGACTTGTCCTTGCTGCCCTTGCTGCCCTTGCTCCCAGCCTCACCAGCCCCCCCAGCCCCACCAGTGCTTGCCAGACTGCAGAAGATCCATGACCTGGCAAAAAGCGGCAGCGCTGGTATTGCAGCGGACATGGAGCTTCCAGACAAATGTTGGGGCACAGTACACATTACGGAAGTATTTGATGTTTGGGCCCAGCATCCGACCAGAAGGCTCAGCTTGGGCAGTTTTTACCAAGTGGCCCTACTTTCGAATGAGAATGTCGAGCAAGGCCAGCCAGGCCAGCGACTGGAGGTGAGCTTACGTCCATCTCTCATCACGGGGCAAAAAGAGGCGGCAGAGGAAAAACGACCTCTTTCAGCTTCAGAGATTGCGGTCGGGCAAAAGGTGTCGGGCTACGTTGTGAGCTCTGGTCCTCGTGGTGTCTTTGTGGCCTTAAGCCGGTCCCTGACTGGCAGGATCAAATTGAAAGCACTTAGTGATGTGCCCGTCATGAAGGAGGCAGTGTCCAAGATGTATCCACCCGGGATGCTTCTCCGTGACATGGGCGTAGAAGAAGTACATCAAGAGCGAGTGGAGCTATCGCTGCTGGATAAGCAACAAGGGCTCAGTCTTGAGGAGCTTTCTGCAGGAGACATTGTTTCCGGGCGAGTCAAGGCTGTCGAGGCCTATGGCTTGTTCGTGCGGCTTGAGAACTCCAACATCGATGCTTTTGTGCACAAGTCTGAGATCTCTGATTCTTCATCCATTTCTGTGGATTCCTACCCCGTCGGCACCAAGATTGCCCAGGCAAAGATCTTAAAGATCGATGGAAGAAAAGTCGGCTTGACTTTGAAGGCTTCCACGTTTACCCCTCAAGACCTGGAGGAAGACGACTCAGACGACGACATTGAGGATCTGCTCGCCTCGGTAAAGAAGAGGAAAGCTGAAGCCACGGAGAGCACTGAGAAGGTCAAGAAGCAAAGAACACCAAGATCACAAGACAGAACCGCCGAGTCGGAGGACACGTAGAAAAACACAGAGACATGTTTTTGATGTTTTGTGAGCATCTAGTGAGACATGTCAGAAATGGTCGCGTGTACAAAAAAAGTCGTCCCTCCTGCTTTTTGCGCAGAGGAGCCTTCCGAGCCTCTGGAGCCCTGGGCGAAGACTTCAACGCGCAAAGCCGCCGCTTTCGACTTTGCGGAGTTCAAGGACAGAACCTTTTTAGAATGTTCTCAAAACTCAACACAGAGAAAACAGAGCATTCGCTACATTGAAGTTACATTCCACGTGCCAATGTGCTGGGTGGGCTGTTGATCGCCTCGTGCAGGTTGAT